TACACTGCCGATCAGGTTGCGATGACAAATTAGTTGTTCAAAATATTTGATGATTTGCACGGCGCATGCGCGAAGCAGTGCTATAAAGCTGAGTTGTATTGTCATTCAACTGGCATGTTAGTCTGCAGCATTTTACGTCGCCGAAACCTTGTTAAAACGAAAACACCAGCGTCAAAAGTCAAGGATTCACCTTGCATGCTTCAGTACAGGAATAAACAGCGTGAAAACGACCTGCCGATGTGTTGGCTTCGGTTACGTTTGAGTGACTGTACTAACAATTTTTTTTAAGATGACGAATTAGTTAATCAAAAAAATTTAATGATTTGCACGGTGCATGCGCGAAGCAGTGCAATAACTAAGCTGATTTGTATTGTCATTTAACTGACCTGTTAGTCTGCAGCATTTTACGTCGCCGAAATTTTGATAAAAAGAAAAACCAGCCTGAAAAGTCAAAGATTCACCTTGCATGCAGTGCAGGAATAAACAGCCTGAAAGAAAACCTGCGGTCAATTAATTATCATCTTTAAGGGCAAGTTATCTGAAGAGAAAATCGTTTCCTTTGATGACGAAAGGCTAGTTTTTCTTTTTGTTTTTTTCTATCCTTCTTTTTCCCCCTTTGTTTCTTGTCTCTGGTAGTTTTCTTAAACAATGTAATTAACGAAAACACACAAACGTATCTAAAATATTCATCGCGACCGGAATAGCGAAGAACCTTCTCTGAAAGCCAACGAAAGAAGAGAAATTAATTAATGAGTAGTTGCTAGCTTCAAGTTTTGTTATTTCATCTTATTATACTAGTTTTCCTCTTCGAACGCAGAGGCATATGGTTCTCGAGGGAGATAACCTGGTTCATGCAAGCATAACGCAAGCAAAGAGCCTTAGGTGTGCAAACACAAAAATTTGTTTGTTCGTTTGTTTTTTAAACTTAACTGGATAAATTTGGATTCTGAAGATGCAAATTCTGAAGGTTTATTTTCAGTCAGATTAATACGAAGATCTGAGCCAAAAGCAATGAATGGCAAGCCTGCAGCTGGCTATAATAATGAACACGGTTGCAAAAAACATAAATGTAAGCTTTAGTTTGATTTCTTTATTTGTCTCCTGCTCCGTTCGATTTTCTTTTTCTTTTTCTTTTATTTTTTCAACATCAAGGTGTCCCTTTTACAACCCTAGTTCTCTCCTTTTTGTAGAACTTTATCAAAATTTTCTTTTAGAAACATTGGACCAAAAATATTATATCGAAGTTTAAACTGATTCCTCCAATTTGATTTCGGCCAAACTGTGGGAACGCGCTCTTACAAGCTTAAGAGTGGTGGTACTGTGACTAGCGATTTAACATGTATTAGGTCCATATATAGGTTATGTTCACACTGTGCGAAAATGTTACCTGTAGGAGCTACAGTCAGTACCCCCAGCATTATTGCTGATAAATAAGTGATTACCAAAGCAAGTAGAACAATTGCGGGGTAGTAGCTTCCGTTCTGTTTTTCTTGATTCTTTGGGCCTCCTCTTGAGGCAGTTGTTCAGCTTCGAGACGTTTAACCTGTCGTCGTGGTTTTTTAAAAAAACACAGATACGTGCATGTGGACCAGGCCTGTGTTTTAAGTCGGCACTTCGCCCCTTACGCGCAGCGATTATGATGGGAAAAAACGATCATTTTGCAGTCTAATGGAAAACATGGGACTAATGCTACTCCACCTTTCAGGGCAAGTGTGTTGGCTTCGATTACGTTTGAATGTGACTGTACAAATACATTTTCTTTTATATTTGAACTAGCTTTAAATTGGAAGTTACGATACACTGCCGATCAGATTTCGGTGACGAATTAGTTGATCGAAATATTTGATGATTTGCACGGCGCATGCCCGAAGCAGTGCTATAAAGCTGATTTGTAATGTCATTCAACTGACCTGTTAGTCTGCAACATTTTACGTCGCCGAAATCTTGATGAAACGAAAACGCCAGGGTGAAAATTCAAAAATTCACCTTGCATGCGGTGCAGGAATAAACAACCTGAAATTTTAAGTGCAAGTTATCTATAGAGAAAATCCCTTCCTTTGATAACAAAATGATTTTTTTTTTTTTAATTTTTTTGCCTGTGTTTGCTGGTTTTTCTCAAACGCTATAATTCATCGAAAACAGCGGCAAACGTATCTGAAATCATGATATTCATCGCGACCAGAATAGCAAAGGACCCATAATTCTCTGAAGGCCATTAACGAAAGAAAAGAAATTAATTTATGAGTAGTTGTTAGCTTTCAGTTTTGTTATTTTATCTTATATTTTATTATACTATTTTGCCTCTTCGAACAAAGGGGCATAAGAAAGAAATGTTCCTGAGGGAGATAACTTGGTGACGCAAGTGTAAGTCAGAGTCTTGCTTTTTTTTTAAAAAAAAAAAATAATAAAACTTGAATGGATAAAGTGGATACCAAAGATGCAAATTCCAAGGTTTATTTTCCATTGGCCCTTCGTTACATCGAGCTTCCACTATACACCGAGGCCAATTTAATAAAACATTTAGAAGTGTAATGTACAAGTGTACCCATTGTATTACACCTTTTGCTGTTCATTACGAGAAAATACGCAATCATTTGCGTAAAACCGCGACCAACAGCGCGAAGATACATTCATCAGCGCGAAAATACGAACATTTGCGCCCAAATCAGATTCAGTTACGATTTTTGCATTTTAATCAACATTCAATAACACTTTTGGGCATTCATATGGGTCACTGGGCATAGAAAAGAGAAAAATATACTTTCATTAACGCCAACATCAAAGTCATTAACACCATCTTGAAAGACAATAGGGACAACTGACTTACATTACAGCGCAAACACTGTTCATTAAAATTTTTGTGACACTGTTTGCAATTCAATAGCTTTCCTGGACAACCTTAGGATGGATAAGACAAACATTAATGCGCTTGTGCGATCAATTGAGTGTTCTTTACATTTAATATGTTAAAAACGATTTTCAATTAAACAATAGAAATTCAAACAAATTTGGCGCGAATTTCACTCTGTTAAATGTATATCCCTCAAAAACCTCGCTATTTAAACATTTTGGGAGGTAGGTTTGCACGAAATGGTACCCCACAGCACATTTAGCTGCGGTCAAAATGTCATATTTCTGCGCGGAGCTTCAAGTACTGCAGTTGTTGTTTCCGAACTCCGCTAGTGGGATTGCTAGGGCTTTGCCCTCATTCCTGTTATACGTCTTTAAATTTCCGGACTCGAGATGTCGGCCTTTGGTGTCGCTTTCAGAGTTAAATCCTTTTCAACGATATCGAGGGGGAAAGCATAAGCTGTATATGTGGGGCGGGAATGGCAAAATCTAGGTGGGCTGGCACCCGTCATATGCAAAGACCACCGACTTATCGGGATCCATTTTTTCCTCGGCCGTGCAAGAAAAAAAACCGACACAGTATTCATTACTCCAGCAGCTGCCGAGGAAGACATTGATAGGTGATATTGCCATGGTCAGAGTCAAGTTTCGTCCTCTTTGGCCGCACACTTAGCTGTACGCCCTCCACTCCCTGTCGCGCCCCACTATGACTTCTAGCCGTCCAGGGTAAATGTATACCCGCAGCCGTCGACGAACACGCAGTGGCGAAGTACGGCGTGATTCTTTAAACAAATTCAGGCCAATTTTGGGGGGAATTGGTATTGTTTAGTTGAAAATAGATTTTTGTATATTAAATGTAAAGAACGCTCAATTGATTGTACAAGCGCATTAATGTTTGTCTTATCCATTCTAAAGCTGTCCAAGAATGCTATTGAATTGCAAACAATGTAATAAAAATGTTAGTGAATAGCGTTTAAATGTTTGTCCATAGCCCCTGATGATTTTCAAGATAATGTTAATGACTCGAATGTTGGCGTTAATGAAAGTATATTTTTCTCTTTTGTATGTCGAATGACATAAATGAATGCCCAAAAATGTTATTGAATGTTGATTAAAATGCAAAAATCGTTATTGAATCTGATTTATGCGCAAATGTTCGCTTTTTCGCGCTAATGAATGTATCTTCGCGCTGTTGGTCGACGTTTCACGCAAATGAATGCGTATTTTCTCGTAATGAACAGCAAAAGGTGCAGTGTCTAAAAACAATAGCCACACTGGTAAATTACACTTGTAATTGTTTTACTAGAACCTCTCGATGCTCGGGGGGAGGCCCATAAAATGTCAGGGATGGGTGGGCGGGAGAGAAATGAAGTAAATTGTGTGGCTGGGGAGGACAGGTTTCAACACTGGTTCATCTTTCCGTGTCCTGCAGAGTGTAAACACAGCCATAGTGCCATGCTTGTACTGCGTTCTGTTTCACATTTCGCATGCGTAACCCGCACATAAGCACAAGAAAAGGAAGAAACTTCCTTGAGCCTCATAGACTCCTCCTTGAGGTTATCAGAACCGTTCTTTTTGTGGGTATCTTCTCCTTTTTTTAGAGATAAATACTTCTTATTCAAAACTTTAAAGTTTCAGCTTTTGTACCGCACAATTCTTTAAGGCTGAAGTGATATTTTGCTAGTTAGAAAATTTAAGGAGGGAAAGAAGTTTTTCTTTGTTGATTCGTATAAGAAAAACATAATTTCTTTATTTGGATGTTTACATGTAAGATTTGATTCTTTTTCTAAATTTTTCTCTATTTTTTTTTTCAAGTGAGTAGTAAGCATTTAAAAGGAGTTCTGCTTTTAGGCTTGGCTAAAGCTAAAGCTCTGACCCCGAGTAACGCTAATTTTTTAGCCCGAAATATTGACCCCAAATAAATCAGCCCCTTGCCGTATTGCCAGCCTTACATTCAGTTTTGTGTTTTGCCCCCCTCAATAGCAATTAATCTTCCGGACATAGCCTCCTTAAGGATCGATTATATTATCAAAGCAAGAGCTAGTACTCTTTGGCTTCTTTGTTGCTGGTGATTTCTTTGGCTTGCATTTGAGGACGACGCAAAGAAAGACACAGAAAAAGGTCATTTTAATGGTTTATGTAACAAATTGACGCCGCTTTTTTTTTCTGTCCTTTTTTGAGATGTCTATCAAGGAGCTGTGGATTCACGACACACTTGTGGAGTGTACATCAGCCGGCTTGCAGATGACGGAATGATAGCAAAACGGGTTGCCCGTTTGTGGGCAACGAGAAAGCCTGGTTTGTTCTGGGTCCAGTTTGAGGGCCTTCAATTTCTCTCATTTCTATTTCCGGCCAAGTGTTTTCTGGTTTTCTTAAATGTAGTATCTCGAGAAATGCGCGCCGTAGATTTTTCATTCGCCAACAGTAAATGATCGGATTAAAAAGGGAGCCTGACATCATAGCAACTGCTACCCACTTCCAAATGACGCATATGAAACGTGGCGGTGACGTAATACTACCTGGAAGAGTAGTTAGCAAACCAAATACTATTGCTGGTAAATAAGTGATTACCAAAGCAATTAGAATGATTGCCAGAGTAATGGCTGCCTTTTTGTCTTTCTTGATTCGTTGGATTTCTTCTTGAGGCAGTTGTTCGGCTTTGAGGCGTTTAATTTGTCGTCGTGTTTCTGTGTAAATGTAACCGTAACACCATGAAATAACCACAATGAAAGAAGCACCAGTAACAATTTGTAATATTACGTTCATTTGCGAATAAATAGAGTATGTTCTTCCACTGTGTAGTACAACAAGAACAAATGCATGGATTGTCATGAACAAGGTGAAACCCCAGCTTAGAATAATGCTGATTATTATCCGCGTTTCTGTGACAATATCCTGGTACCTCAAGGGATATTTGATAGCTGTATAGCGGTCTATGCTGATCACGACTAGGTGACTGATAGAAGCATAGCCTACCATGGTTAATGTCACAACAAATGCCTTTTCTAACGAACAGAATGGCCCAGCACCCAGGAGTCGCTTCAGGTCTACCAAGAAGGCAAACGGCAGAGCAACAAGCCCTGTTAACAAATCCACCCCAGCTAAACAAGCAAGAAGTATGGTGGAGTTGTTTCGTAGTGGGCGCCTTGTTACCACAGCAAAAATTACCAGCGCATTTAGAAGAATCGTAGGCAGGGCCGTTATTAAATCGGCAGTGACCAGAGCAACAAGATGTTTGTATATATCGTCTCTCAGGTATTCCGCTCGCCAAATAGGCACATAAAAGTTGCACTTTACTTTCTCTGGAACCAAAGACCTTGAGAGATTAAGCAGTAGAAATATTAACGATTGAGTTCAACATGGTTCAGTTGTCCCTGTAAGTCCCATGGGTAACTTTTTATTTCTGTCTCAAGAATGTCGATTATCGAAGTCAAAAATTTAGATGAATATGAAATATAGAAACTTGAAATTTACAGAGATCGGGAAGAGGAAAAGGAGGGGGTTCTAACCCCCCCAACCCGGGCCCCTCCCCTTCCGGTCATTCCGACACATTTTTGATTGTTGAAAATGCCATATTTTCTGTATTACACGCCGCCCTCGATTTTAATCGGCCTCGAAGATGGAAGCAAGTTACTCAGAAGCCCCGCCTTCGAGTTATCCTCAGACCGCACTTAATAAAGTCACTTTTTTGCTACCGATTTAAAGAAAATATCAGGGAGTTTACAGATAAAACACAGATTCATCCTTTCTCTCTAGGATTTCATGATTGAACTTAACTGCTGGAACGGTAGAAAACCGGTGTTTGGGGTTCATATTGGAGACTATTTAGTCTGATAAATGCTCACATTTTACGCTGGATTTGGATAAAGGTCATCGTTTAAGTTTTAATACGGTCGGGAAAAAGAGTCAGCCAAAAAGGTAATTTTCAAGGTAAGGAGGTTGCCTCAAGGACATCATTTGCAATGATGAATTAAATTTTCAGCAGTTTTCTGATGTACTCGGCATTTGTTTAAATGTGGAATTTTTTAGCGATCAGTATTATTAAGGGTTTTTATTCCCTATTTTCTTGGCAGTCGTGAATTTTGCCTTTACTTGGTCTTACATCGCAAGTATATTATTCGACAGATGTGTCTACGGGGCTGTTTTGCAAGCTTCTGTTGTGTAAAATACCTGGCGTTTGCTTACTGGGCAAGATTGATTCTGGCAAGCCTACTGAAAAAGGGTCGTAATCGTAGATAGGTCTTCAGGCCATGCAATGGATAGGAAATAATGACACCGTTATTCACTGACCTGGAAGAAGGCGACGAAATGTTGGCGAGTGACATTGTAGGTTTAAGACGGTTGGAATCGACGGAAGAACCACCCTTAGAGAACCAAACAGTCTGGATCGAAATGAACTTGCGTGCATCGTATTTTAAAGAGAAAGTTACACAAAAAGAATAAATCAATGTCTCTATTTTTAAGTAGTGTGTTTAATTGTTTTGATAACTCAGTCTGGTGTCTGTTTAACTAAACGTCATTATCACCATTTTTCCCTTTGTATGAATGCTTCCTCTTAATCGAGGATTCTAGTCAAAAGCTTTGTTTTTTGTTTTTTCTGCAGTGTTTATTCCAAATCTATCCAAGATTTCCTTCAATCAAAAATTGGCTCTCCATAAAGTCGTTTCCTGTGTGTGAAATTTTGGATGATTTTTCCAATTTTTTTATTGAATAAAAATTAGGGAATGTTTAAAGTAAAGTTATGGATAATTGAGAAATGTTGGATTTGGGGGTAAACGGTCGTTTATAATTATGATATGCAGAAAATATACAAGTAGACAATTACCAGATAGTCCAGCACCAAAACACAGTGAACTGAATACCTTTTCTACCCTAGCAATCAAAACCATTTCCCCCAGAAAACAACTGGAACGCCCACTAAAACAGAGTTATTAACAAAAACAAAGAAACCCAGCTGTGGTCACTGTTAACATTCTCTCGTTCTTCATGGAAACTAATCAAAGTTATTCATCGCGGACGGAAGACCAAGATTGTTTGTAGTTTGCGTTTCACGCAAAGACTTTAAAAAAGACTCTACATAAAGCTGGGTTTTGATACATATTGCTCACTATACCGCCTTTCCAGTAAAATGTATTGTTAACAAGTGTTTTGAAGTTAAAGTAAATGACTTTTAAAAAACTCGATTGTCAGAGAGAGAGGACTTCTCCTAAGATTTTCACCTAAAAAATCCACTTATAAAATGACTACCCAAGTGAAAACGCTTTGATCTTTTATCAAATTCTTTTTACTAATTCTTTAAGGAAATGATTTAGGTCAGTCTATCTAAAGAATTTGAGTGTGGATCGTGAGGCCATCCTACGAACCGGACAAAAATCTGCTGCAATACCTTGAAATTTCAAGACAAACATATCCTAGTGCGTGAACCGGTCAAAATCTACGTTACAACATTCACTGTTTTGACGCTATGCTAATTTTTCCAAAATAATGTGCACTATACATACCTCCATGACTTGTACATTTTAGTTTGAATTTATCGCATCTTTTGAATGTAAAACATTGTCACTACTCACACTGAAATGTACTAGTCATGGATATATGTATAGTGCGCATTATTTTGCAGAAATTTAGCATAACGTCAAAACAGTGAATGTTTTAACGTAGATTTTTGACCGGTTCACGCACTAGGATATGTTTGTCTTGAAATTTCAAGGTGTTGCAGTGAATCAATCTCAATGAAAGTTTCAGACATTTTTATGTACATTATGAAGATTATGTGAAGAGATTTTAAAAAAATTCTTTCGATTCGTTTCGGAGATATACAAGAAAGCGCTAAAAGTCCAAATTCTGAATGAAGTTGCACTTATACAGGTGCTGAGAAAACGGATTTACTTAGTTTTCAAGATCGCAAGAACGAAAGTACACCAAAATTTCCGGGCTATCATCAAAATATAATATTAAGCAGCATTCTGACGCTACTTAAGAATAATCTGAGTCATATATAGCGTTTTTTATGTTAAATAATCTATCACGGCTATTGAAAATTTAAGGTTTGAGATATATTTTCGTTTCAGTGGAATTCAAACTTACAGAATTTTATACTTCTTACGGAGATTGTTTGCTAAACACCAAACTTTAACTTCCTAGTGTTTGATTTTCAGTACCAGGTCTAGATCACACAAAATTCGGCTTTTATCAGTTTCAAAGTTTTTTGTTTATTGTTGTCATAGTAATATCGATTTTACTTAAAACTAAATTTTCAGAAATTTCAATCCATAGCCAATTACTGGTGAAAATTTTATAGCGATCGGACAAGAAAAAAAACACTTTTAACGCGATTGAAAAATATCGGTATGGCCTCTGAAAAACTGTATCGAAACAACCGGCTTTGGTGACGGCCGGCGAGTAACGAAAAAAACGTTTTTTTCACCAATTCCTCCTCTTTGGAATGGTTTTGGGCTAATTACCATAACAATGGCTAAAAACGAGTTTTGCAAGAAAAAAGGCATATTTTTCGACTAACCTGACGTAATTAAACGGCATTTTTGTTTTTCACGCATGCGCAAAAGCCAAAATTTCTTTTTTTTCTTTGCGAATTTATTTCGAACTTTCTCTCTCGCTCTCTTTTTTCTCTTCCTTTCTTTCTTTATTGGTGGTTTTGTTCTTCACTTTATCGTCTTTCTTTTGCATGGAATTGTGGCTGGCTAACTTTTTAGGACAGGCACAAATTTAATTTTCAAAGCAGCGAAATTAGCAGTGGATTTTTCCCCAAAATGCGACCTTTTTTAGTGTAACTCTGTCAGGAGTTGGTTAGAGTATAGTAAAACGCCGCGAAGAAGAATCTAGAGTTTTTGAAGTTTGGCAAAATAGATTCTTATAGTTTGGAGTACTTATTAAAAGTTTAGGCTAAATAGGTTCTTAATTAGGTTCTTAATTTTTATGAAGAAGGATACTGTTGTTGATTACAAGAAATTGCTATAAATGGTATTTGTCCTTCGTAATAGGCATTTATTTACCAAAAATCTAACAAAACTAGGTTAACAGCTACAAGATATGCAGTTTTCAACAATGGTTGTATACATTAGACATTATTATGTAATGTAATATAAATTTCCCATATTAAAGCCAGACGTTTTGGTCAAAATGTTTATGAAAATGTAGTCTAACCCCACATCTAAGAACCCGTTGATTTTTCTTTGCTAAACTGGTTCTTATATTTTGGAGTATTAAAATGACAAATTTCTGCCAGCAGGTTCTTAAAGCCTAGGTTCTTCTTCGCAGCGTTTTGCTGTATCCAAAACGTCAAAGTCAATTTAATTTTTGCTACCGATTTAAAGAAAATATATTTTGAGATAAAACACAGATTCATCCTTTCTCTCTAAGATTTCATAAATGAACTTAACTGCGGGAACGATGCTAAACAGGTCTTTGGGGTTCATATTGTAGATTATTTAGTCTCATGATAAATGCTCAAATTTTACGCTGAATTTGGATAAAAGTCATTTTTTAAGTTTTATTACGGTTAGGAGGAATAGTCAGCCAAAAAGGTATTTTTCAAGGTAAGGGAAAAGTCGGGGAATTTTCCTAAAAAGATAGAAAAAATATTGATTAGTTCTTGACAAGGTCAGTGAAAAATAAAGGAATTGAATTTTATTTCCTGCAGGTTGCCTCAAGGACATCATTTGTCATTTGCAATGATGAATTAAATTTTCAGCAGTTTTCTGTAATTTTTAAACTTGCCTGATGTACTCGGCGATTGTTTAAATGTGCAGTTTTTTCGGGATCATTATTATAAAGGGTTTTCATTCCCTTTTTTCTTGAAAGCCGTGAATCTTGCCTTTACTTGGTCGAAGGGGCTGTTTTGCAGTCTCCTCTCGTATATTAAATATCTAGCCTTTTTTACCGGGCAAGGCGTTTTAAGAAAGTACGTACTCGATCTGTAAAAATGGAACTTTGTAGTGAATCATTTCACTTGATTTAAGTCAATTGCAAAGCATCCGCTTGCTGTAATCGTAAGTTTTTAGGCCATGCAATGGACAGGAAACTTGAATGACACAGTCATTAACTGACCTGGAAGAAGGCGAAGAAATGTTGGCGAGTGGCATTGTAGGTTAAAGACGATTTGAATCAAGTACTGAACTCGACGGCAGGGTCCGCCGGAAGAACTACCTTACAGAAGCAAACAGTTTGGATCGAAAGGAACTTGTGTGCATCGTATTTTAAAGAGAAAGTTGCACAAAAAGAATAAATCTATGATTCTATTTTAGAAGTGCGTTTTTAAAAATGTTTTGTGTCTGTTGTCTGGTGTCTGTTTGACTAGACGTTATTATCACCATTTTTCGGTTTGCATGAATGCTTCCTCTTAATGAGAGATTTTAGTCAAAAGAATTGTTTTTCGTTTTTTGTGTCGTGTATATTTCAGATCTACCCAAGGTTTCCTTCAATCAAAAAATGGCTCTCCATAAGGTCGTTGCCATTGGTTCAACAAATGAGTGTGATGTTTTGGATGATTTTTTGGAATTTTTGTTTTTAATGAATAAAAATTCGGGGGATGTCATGGATAATAGAGAAATGTTGTTTTGGGGGTTAAGGGTTGTTTATGATTAAGAGTCATAGTGAATAATAAGTAGACAATTAACAGAAAGTCCACCACCAGACCAAAAAGCCTCTGGGCTCATTAGTGAACTACCTATCTTTCCTACCCTAATTTCTTTCCTTCTCAAGTCAGTACCATTTCCCCCAAAGAACAACTAGAATGCCTCCTTAAACAAATTAATTATCGAAAAAGAAAGAAACCCAGGTGTGGTCACTGTTAACATTCTCTCGTCCTTCACCGAAATTAATCAAAGGCATTAAACGCGGCCTGAAAATCAAACTGTTGTTTAGTAGTAGTTTGCGTTTCCAGCGAGTGACTTGAAAAAAACTTCACAGCTTTGTTCTGCGATACAATGTTGCTCACAACTACCACCTTTCCAGTGAAATTTTTCGTTAACAGCTAGTTTGAAGTTGAAGCAAATTAAAAAAAAAAACTCGTTATCGAGAGTTCCTTGTCTAAAGATTTTCCTGACTCATTTTTGGTTTTTCGAGGCACCCTTTTAAGGGTGACCATTTTCAATTTTCTCCGAACAATATCTGTACATCATCAAGATAAAGGTTATCACAATTTTTGAAATGATGATCACCCAAAGGAAAATTTTTTGTTACTAAGACTATATATTTAGGGACTGAAACTGTTTCCTGTCGTCTGTTGCTACGGATCGGCAACGATGAACATGGATTGAAACTTGAAAAAAATGGGCCAATTTTTAATGCTATGCCTAAAAATAAATCACCTCAAAATTATTATGTATAGTGCTCCCTGATATAATTTGTCCGATGATGAGTCTTTCTCATTACTCAGTCTACAGTAGCATTTGTTCTAGGTCCAGCTTGATTTCGCTGAGTTGCTTGAATTTCTGTTTCTGGCATGTTGTTCTCAGGTTTTCTTAGATGAAGTATCTCGAGAAATGCGCGTTGTAGATTCTTCATTCGCCAACAGTAAATTATAGGGTTAACAAGCGAACCTAACATGATGGAAAGTGCTACCCAGCTCCAAATTATGACTCTTAACCGCGGCGGTACCACAGTGCTAACTGGAAGAGTAGCCAATACCCCAGTAATTATTGCTGGTAAATAAGTGAATACCAAAGCAATTAGGATGATTGCCAGAGTAGTAGCTGCCTTTCTGTCTTTCTTAATTCTTTGAACTTCTTCTTGAGGCAGTTGTTCGGCTTTGATGCGCTTTACTTGTCGTCGTGTCTCTGAGTAAATGTAACCGTAAGACCATAAAACAGTAGCTGTGAAAAGAGTCATAATAACAATTTCTATCAAAATGTTCACTTGCGAATATATCGAGTAGATGCTTTCACTGTCTATTAGAGCCATAGCAAGCTCATTGATTGTCATCAACAACGTGAAAGCCCAAGCGAGAACAACACTTATTATTATCCGTGTCTCTGTGACAATATCCTGGTACCGCAAGGGATATTTTATAGCTATATAGCGGTCTATGCTGATCACGACCAGATGACTGAACGAAGCAAAAGCTACCATCGTAATTATCACCATCAAGGCCTTTTCTGGCGAACAGAATGGCCCGACACCAAGAAGTCGCTTCAAGTTTAGCGAGAAAGAAAATGGTAGAACAATAAGGCCAGTTAACAGATCCGTCCCAGCTAGACAAGCAAGAAGTATGGTGCCGTTGTTTCGCAGTCGGTGCCTTGTTGCCACGGCAAAAATGACCAGCGCATTTAGAAGAATTGTCGCCAGGGCGGCTATAATATCGATGCAGATCAGGGCAACCAGATGTTTGTACGTGTCGTCTTGTAAGTACTCCGCTCGCCAAGCAAGCCCATACAAATTACACTTTTCTTTTTCTGGTTCCAAAGTCCTTGAGAGATTAAGCAGTAGAAAAATTAGCGATTTTCAACATGGGTGAGTTGTCCCTGTACGGTCGACCCATCAGTAACAGTTTGTTTTTGTTTCATTGTAGCTGCCTGAAATAATGACTGCAGCAGATTCCGAGACAGAATAAAGAAAAATTTTTAATTTTTCAGCTTATTATTACCCTAGTCAAACCTCTATTCAGGGGACACTTTCCTTGGTCCGGAGTTGTCCTTAAATAGAGTTTCCACTGTATTTACATATATATGTCTGAGGGCATCTTTTTGCAATCCCTGGATCCTCCTCTGTACCCAGCGTTTTCTGGGGCTAGGCGTTTATGAGATAATGCGGTACTTGATCGAGGGTCTCAATAGGGTGGAAGCTTTGATGCTACCTGTAATGGTTAATTATTTCCAATTTTGACGGTTGACGGTTAAATTTTAAAGCTTTTGATGGTTAAAACTTTTAAAAGTCCAAGAGATTAAGTAAATATTAAGGTCTATTTATATTTATATTAAAAGTTGATTTTTGTAGGATACATAAAATTTTGAAATATTTTAAGATATAAGCAAGGTAAAGGTCCGTGTAATATCTAGAGTGTTTTTGAGAACATGGGAACTAGTTTTTCCGGTTTAGAGATTCTTCAAGAGCCAGAAGTCCGTGAAGATCAGCTGAAATAGTGAGATTTAAGAAGTGTTGACACTTTTCGACGGTTAATGTCAATCTGCATTTTTAAACTTTTTAATTCGCGGGCTGACGGTTAAATTATTTGAAAGTAGATCATTGCAGTTATAGACTGCATCTTGAAGTTGGGTCTATAACTGCGATGATCTACTTTCATATAATTCTTCACCCCGCAGTTCACATTTATGATTTTCATATATTCATAATTTCATCATCATCCTTTCACGGGTTTATATCGAGACCCGGGGAGGGGGAGTACTTAGGTTAATTTTTGCTGGGTATGTGCCGCTGGCCTCTCAGCTCCACCCCCATCTTAGCCACTTTTGGGCAAATATGTAATTTTCGCGATCCCAACTTAGTCACTTTCTATTTTTACGAATTGACCCACTTTTTAGATTGAATGAAGAACACTTTACTTTTCATCTACAGTACAAACATTCTGGCACGTTTGCTAACCGTAAATATGAAGAACTGTCTTACCCCCAAAAATCCGAAAATGTGCGACCCCATTCTAGTAACTCTATCGAAAATCCGACCCCATTATAGTCAGTCCAGTGGTGAAAATATGACCCCATCCAGCGGCACATCCCCCCCCCCCCCCCCCCCCCCCCCCCCCCCCCCCCCCCCCCCCCACACACGCCCCCCAACAAACCCAACAACCCCCACACCAAATCATGAACACCACCACCAAAACTAGAGCAAAAAAAAAACCAATCACTAAAACACCACAAAAAAAAAAACAAAAAATAAAAACAAAACAAAAAAAAATCTGGCACCTTTGCATAACGTAAAAAGACAGAACTGTCTTACCCCCCAAAAACCCAAAATGTGCCGACCCAATCTAGGAACGTTAATGAAAATCCCCCCCCATTATAGTCCCGCCAGTGGGGAAAAATTGACCCCCTCCGGCCGCGCATCCCCCCCCCCCCCCCCCCCTCCCCGGGCCCATCGAGACCCTCATACAAGAACTTTGTAAAAATGGAGCTTAATTAAAGGAGCTGTGTCATGAAATTCAGCCAAATTAGGAAATTACAAAATGCCCGTTAAATTAGCAGAAACATAAAAATAACCGCTTAAAACATTAAAGGAAGGTTAACACAACAGAAACAACAGATGCCACGGATGGAAAAACTGAAGAAGATTGAAACGGATTGAAATTAGAGTTTTTGAAAACTGTTCAGCCTAACAGTCTTTCAAAATTGATCCCTGCTACTTGCAACTTCAAAAATAATGCTCAGGAGACAGATTTGTTTGTCTCGGATCTCTGATTTTGTCATTTACATGTAATTTCTTTGCTTACTGTAAGTTCCATGGCGATTGAGGGCGAGTAATTGGCAAAATTAAACAAAATGAACTGTACTGCCATGACACAGCCCCTTTAATATATCATTTCACTTGATTTAAGTCAATCGTAAGGCATGATTTTGGAAACAGTTTCACTGCATGAAGTTTGCCTGGGAAGTTTCGTGTAATCGAAGGTTTTAGACCATGGATAGGAAAATAGATGGAAGTTATTCACTGACCTGGGAGAAGGCGAAGAAATGTTGGCGAGTGACATTGTGGGTTAAAGACGGTTGGAATAAAGTAGTGACACTGAACTGGACAAGCTCGAACGAACCTCTTTAGAGAAGCACACAGTTTAGATCGAAAGGAACTTGCGTGCATCGTATTTTTAAGAGAAAGTTTCACAAAAAGAATAAATCAATGATTCTATTTAAGTAGTGTGTTTAAAAGTTTTGTGTTTGTTGTCTAGTGTCTGTTTCATTAGACGTTATTATCACCATTTTCCGCGGTTTTGTATGAATGTTTCCTGTTAGAGGGGGATTCTGGTCAAAAGCTTTTTTTTCGCTTTTTGCTTTTTTTTCGCTGTCGTGGTATTTCAAATCTAGCCAAGATTTCCTTCTATCAAAAATTGGCTCTCCATAATTAAGGTCGCCATTAATCGGTTCAATAAATGTATGTAAAGGTTTAGATGTTTTTTTTTAGATGATTTTGTTTGTTTTAGTTGGGGGGGGTGTTTAAAATTAAGTCAGGATAATTGAAAAATGTTAGATTTGGGGTTAAGGATTGCTTATAATTAAGAGATGTAGAGAATAATAAGTAGGCAAATAACAAATAGTCTACCACTAAAACAAATTGCCTCTGGGCTCATTAGTGAACTAGCTAACTTTTCTATACCCTAATTTTTTTCCTTCTCAAATCAACGTCATTTCCCCCAAAAAAACAACCAGAATGCCCCCTTAAACAAAGTAATTATCGAAAAAGAAAGAAACGCAGCTGTGGTCACTGTTAACATTCTCTCGTTCTTCGATCACGGAAACTAACCAGAAGCATTCATCGCGGCCGGAGGATCAAACTGTTGTTTAGAAGTAGTTTGCGTTTCAAGCAAGAGACTTTTAAAAATACTTAACATAAAACTGGGTTTTGATACAATATTTCTCACTACGCCGCCTTTCCCGTGAAATGTTTTGTTAAAAAGTGTTTTGAAGTTAAATCAAATGACTTTTAAAAAACTCGTTAGAGAGAAAGTCCTTCTCCAAAGATTTTCATCTAACATCATCAAGAGAAAGATAATGACAATTGATAAGTGATCACGCAAGGGAAAACGCTTTGATCTTTTATCAAATTCCCTTTACTAACTCTTTAAGAAATGAAGTAGGTCAGTCTATCTGACGAGGATTTTTGTGTCCGTCTTAGTGTCCGTCTTATAGAGGTGTCCGTTAAGACAGAGTTGACTGTAGTCGCCTAGCATTGTTTGGATCTTGAAACAATGACTATTTTTTCCAGCACTAATTCTGCAAAAAGTGATTCATGATATCCAGACTGACCGAGGAGCGGGTTAAGAACAAAATGGCGCGACCGAGTTTTAAAAAATCCGACGTCGATGAGAAGTTAATAATTAAAACAGGCATACAGGCAACGAGGAATGAGCACGAGAAACGAGAAAACGAAAAATGGGAACAAAACAGAAAATGGGATGAGATGAATGAGAATTAGAATGGGGTTACCGATAGAGCCGCGGGCTAAATTAGGATTTGTTGCTATTTTTCATTTCCCTGTTTCCTGTGCCTAGTTATTATTTTCCCATTCCTCGTTTTGGCAACATCCACTTCGAGGTGTCTAGATATCAAATGTATCACTGAGTGAAGTGTTTGATTTCGGTAAGAAATCGGATCTTCCGAGGATTTTCGGAATATCCGACTGTCCCAGTCCCCCTAATTTTTTCTGTCCCAGATCTCGCTCTAGCTGACTGCAAAATTCAAAATGGCCGACAAAAGGAAACAATCCAAGTAATATAATAACGTAAGTTAAATCTTTATTCATTTATTACAATCGGACAGGAGAGCCCCTGCGATACAGCTTCTCAAGTGAACAATAATTCTTGAAGATACTCAAAGCTAAAATGCGTTACATTCTATGGTAAATAAGATCCATTATCCAAACCTCAGCCACGATAGTGATTTCCCTTGTTTGCTCTTCATGAATCCAGAATTGAGGAGTTTGAGAGGTCATGTATCAAAAACAAACATCGTCCCATGAAATCAAGAATCCTGGGAATTCAGCTCAAGGAATTCTTAATCCCGCTTAAGAATGGAACCCAGCATCCAAGTCCCATTGACAAGGAATCCGTATTTATTCGAATAAGCACCTAACCTCGAATTAGCGCCCTCCTCGAATAAGCACCCATCCTAAAGGCAGAAAAAAGTTAATAAGCGCCCACCCCACCCACTTGAGTGGCAATGAGATTGAAATTGAAATTGAATAAGTACTTATAAGAGACTTCCCTGAAGACGGAGTTTTCTTCAGAGCGGTTTATGGAGACCTTGCTTTGTTACATCTCTGCGTTTTGTTATTACCATTTATTGTTTTGTTGCGAAATAAACATCCTACACTTGCTGAAAATGGTGAGAATTTAATAATCGCCGTTTCTAAAGGTCCAAAAATTTAATAAGCGCCCAGGGCGGCTTATCGAATAAATACGGTAACTTACATGGGACGAAACACAATATCCATCAGTACCACAAACTGACGTTCTACAGTCAACTTTCTCGCCCCGTGTAAGGGAATTCGGCCGGATTTAGGAATGCGGGAAATATTTGCTTGTGGACTCCGGAATCCGGCAATTTTTTTTGCTGTGGAAGCCGGTACCCTGGGCTTTGGAATCCGGGATACAGCTCAAGGAACCCAGAACCCACTAAAGATTGGAATCCAGAATCCAAATTACACTGACTAAGAATTCAGAATCCAGTACCTTGAATCCGGAATCCATGGCGTGGAATCCAGAATCCCAGACTGTTTTGGATTCCCGGGGCGAACTTTAAGGTTGAGGACGCCTGGCTGTTACGGACAACCCGCCAATAGGGACAGCAGCCGAGAAATCCCGAGCACAAATAGATTACGAACGTTTCACTGAAGCACACCTCTATAAAACGAACTCCCACTAATACGGATATGTCCAAAATAAACAATAGTAATATATAGATTTAGCCAGTGCTAAAAGGCAAGCTCTTGATAATATTTATAGTATTGCTCAAACAAAATGTATAATCGTGTAATGTTAAAGAGCCGAAGGCAACGAGAAAGGTGAAAAAACAACAATAGGTCTAATTAGCAAAACAGCAACTTTGCACGTGCAGCACACTTATTTTGTACATTTCTTTGCTGTTGTTTTGCACGACTTCATCGTGAAACTTCCTAGAAACTTTCTAGTTACACGTTTTATGGAGGAAATGTCGTACCTTCTCTTGTTCACTTTTTTTTTCACTCCCGCTCATTTTCACCTGGGTGGCCGCTAGCATTTCTCATTTTCTTCCCGTCGCTACAAAATTTTCATGTTGTCCTTCCAACAAAAAGTGCCTCCTTTGTTTTTATCTCTGGCTCTAGCTCTCCGTCGCTCTTTTTCTCGTTGAGCTTCGGTGGCCTGTCGCCTACCTTCCCTTTTCCGACTCTGTCTTTCTCTTTCTCTGTATTCCAAATTTGTAGACATTACAATTAATCTAAGCTTAATACTTTAGGCAATACGGATAAAGAAACAATTTCCGCTCTCCGTTTTCGTCTTTATTGACTTAAGTTGTCCGATCCCTCCCTGCTTCACAAGACGCGGGGTAACTATGCCATAACCTCGAGTTGCATTTGGGTTGCCATACCTGTTGATTGAGTTATTTTACATTGGTATGCCTATGGTTCGTACGGACGGGGGGCGGATGTGCGTACGGTCACGTGATAACCAAAATTTCTCGGATCGGATGATTACTACATTTTCTTAGGTATGGGGCTACGCTCACGCGCGCGGAGCTCCGCTAATAATCCTTACGTTAGACATCACAAAGTGTCCCCTAGCCCTAATCCTCACCTGAAGGCAAGAAATTCTATCTACATTGAGCGCTTACCATTTGCATGGAAAACCCGGAAATTCCGGGAAGAATTCAAATGAAACGGTTCATCCCGGTGGAAAATTTTCTGGAAAAAAGGGAATACCTTTCGAAGTATTACCTTTTTCCAATTCTTACCGAGAATTTTCTGACCGAAGAAGAAGACCGAAATTTTCTGTACCATTTGTTTGGATTACCAGTGCCAGGCTTCATGTCGAGAGAAAGTGAAAAATGTACTAGTATTTTGTAAATGGTACAATTCAATCCCGTCCCTGTTTTCGGCGTCAAAAAAAGATACCAGTACCATTTGACGGAAATTTTTCGCCGAAATTTCCGTACAAATGATAAGCGCTCATTAAGTCATATGGAAATTAGAAATAATTATCGTGTCTAATACAGGACAACTCGGATTAATATTAATCGGATTAATATTAATCCTAATGATTATTATAATCCAGTAATAGATTATTATAATCCAGTGATAGATTATTATAATCCAGTAATAGATTATTATAATCCATTACTGAGGTTTGAGCCGTGCCTTGATCAATTAGGATTACTATTAATCTTATGTAGGATTAATATTAATCAGATTAATATTAATCCTAATATTAGATCCAGTAATAGATTATTATAATCCATAACTGAGCTTTGAGCCGTACCTTAAACGATTAGGATTAATATTAATCTGATAAATATAATCCCACATAGCTCAAATTTGTACAAGTCTCTCAATAAAGAAAATATTCTATTCTAACCACGACGAATTTGCTACTTGTGCTAGTAGTTTGTGAACAAAACTCTTAATTACATTCAGTCAATAACCGCACTCCTTATTATACGTTATTATATTTTAGTAGCAGAAGTCGGCAGTTGTCTCAGCTCTGCTGGTAATACAGTTGCAACTGAATTTTTTGCAGGGCCATGAAGATTTTTAACGTAGAATAGAATAAAGATCTTAAGTAATAAAAAAAATAACAAAGTGAAAGGGATGTCAGTGCGCACATCATCAAAGGAAATCCTTGAATCTTTTCCAGTTATTTCTAAAAGACTCAGTCTTTCTGAGTTTGATCCATAGAGATAGTTATTTCCCAGGGAGCATTTCATGATTTGGACCGTCTGCGTATATGCTGGACTTAAAGTAGGAGTTTGTGTTAGAGGACTGGGTTTCAGGATTGGTGTCATAGAAGGAGCCATTGTTGTTGATGGGTTAGCTGGTGGCATCCACGAAGGCGTATGATTGACTGAAGTGTTGGCACCAATTTCTGCTGGACGGAAGAACTCTAGAGTTATGTTGGCAAGTGACCTTGCAGACAACATATCCTGTATGCGTTGATAACGATACTTTATACATGCCTTGTCATTCACTTTAACAAGAATGTCGCCATCTCTAATCTGGGAGAATGATGCCGACTGTTCGACAGCTTCAACAATCCAGCCTCCTCCAATTATTGTTTCCGGTGCTGCACTCACCCGGATTATAATAGAGATTAATATTAATCCGGATGATTATTATTAATAATAATCTAATCCTTCCAATTTTTGCCGTGCCTTAATCTATTACTGGATTATAATAATCTATTGCTCTATTATAATAATCTATTACTGGATTATAATAATCTATTACCGGATTATAATAACCATAGTACAATCTATTATTATTATAATCCACGGATTAATATTAATCCGAGTTGTCCTGCTAATAGGAAGTACCCTAGTTCCAATTTTTTTTCCATTGTTGGACAGAAGTGGCTATTATCGATTTGCGAATACTTTTTCTTGGTAGCGACCTCACAATTTATTATTCTAGCTCTCATTATAGGAAATTGAACGACACCCCTTTTCTCAACATCATCAACATTTAATGGGTTGTCTCTGGAGTCTTACAGATCGTTTTTACTCAAATCGAAGCCAGGCAAATGTATTCTACCAAAAGAGAGCGTTTAAATAAGGAGTGAAACTCCGACGGGATTTGCTTGAAAAAAACATGGCTGCCGTGACGTCATGTTAAAACCTGTTATTTCCCCAAACTATACTCCTCAGTTGTCTGAAAATTTCCTTTTAATTATTTTTATTTTTTGTGTATATATTTTAATAGCATTTGGACAAAATATGACACAGATAAGCAAATTTTGATAGATCTCTAACAGAAATATTTCAAGCTTAAACTTAAGCAAAGTCGCATAAATAAATCGAAATTTATCGTTCTATGTTAAAAAAAAACGATAACAACAATGCAAATGATTTGGTTCGGCCCGAGTATAAATTGATCCCGCGGTGTTCAAAACGTAAGAAGCGCAGTTGCTAAGTAACGTTAGCACCATTTTGTCTAAATGACAACTCGAAAGTATTATGTTCAGCGAGTCCTGTTGTTTTGTTCTATCGAAAGGTGGGGCGACCTACTATACTATTGTCGGAGATATCAGATCTTCTGGTTTTCGGACTGTTTCCTTCTTAGCTAATAACGTCCAAGGTGGCCTGCGTAGCTGGCGGGATTAGGGTGGGACCCGCGCGGCTTCGCGCGTGGTGGTTCCGCCGCCGAGAAAGTAACCCCGCGCGCGTATCCCGCCAGCTACGCTTCCGGTACAAGGAGCGCATAACCAGTAGTAAGAAACTCCCGTATTAGGCCTACGTCTTATTACTATGACTAGTTTATTTTAACAAACATTTTACAGGACTTTTTCCCACAACCGCTTCTTCTGTTAGCTCACTCGAAGTACGAGATACCAAAAAGGAAAACTAAACGTCATTAAAAGGTAAAAATACAATATCTACGTCTGTAGACTTAGAAGGAGCCAAAATGTTTGGGGCTGAAATTCGCGCAAAATCTGAAATTAAACTGGTCGGTGAAAACTCCTTGACAAGAAAGCATTGAAGTTGCTCGCTTCCGGTCTGTGGGCCCCGGCCGGTAACCAAGAGTACCCGATAAAGGTCTTTATAAACTTGTTCAGTTTTTATAATTATACGATACAGTGATTTCATATTATTCTCCTGATGGTTAACACTTCTGGTACTTGTTGGTTCTTCCGTTAGTGAAAAATGATGCTCTTAACCTGTTTGAGCACACGCGACATTTTTCGTGATTGGATAATAACTTCCCGGCACTTAAATCGCGTATCCAATAGTAGGCTCTTCGGGAACACGTATTGCTTCATGATTGGATAATAACAGTCGGAAATATTCTGCCCTCTCGTGTCATTGAAGTTAAATCCAATGAAAGAGTGGATTAACCAACTGCGCTGTCAGCCGCTTCCACTGGAACTGTCATCATCTAAGACTTCCAGTGATTGGTTCATTTGAAAATACTCAGGGGGGATCCCTGAGGATGAAACACTAGAGGTGGGTGACGAAGGCAGTGCTACGTCGGGTACTGGATGTGGAACAGACTCGGTTATCTGAGAACGGGATTAAAAGAATTTTATCATCAATTAGCCTATAAAGGGTCTCTTAACCTACACGTGTAAGCAGAGCAAGGGAAGTAGCATATATCGTACAAGTAGACTGATGGAACTGGATTAACTCTTGAACATTTATCGCTACTCAGAGTTTCATCCTTCTTGCGAGGCATATATATATCACCTCCAGCGAGAACAGACGCGACGTGAGAGGTAAAACACGGTATTTAACTAAACGACTTTGAAAGCAAGTTAAAACGATTTTCAAATGGCTTAAATGTTCAAACACAATCGCTTTAACTTTGGCTTTGTTCTTGAAAATGTTGGGTCATCTTCAAGCAGTTTGAACAACAGCGATTTTCAAGGATTGTTTTTCTCCTTGCCCTACTTGTTCTAAAGTTGGATAGCGCTATCCACCGGATAAAGCGCTATCCGGTGGATAATTATTAAGAAAACCAATTACGAATAGTGATTTACCGTATTGATTCGATTAACCCCCCTGGGCGCTTATTAAATTTTTGGACCTTGAGAATGGGCACTTATTCGAGGTGGGCGCTTATTCGAGGCCGGGCGCCTATTAAATTTTCACCATTTTGAGCAAGCGAGGTATGTATATTTTGCAACAAAACAATAAATGCTAATAACAAAACGCGAAGAAGTAACAAAGCAAGATTTTTGCAAAATACTCTGAAGAAAACTCCGTCCTCGGGGAAGTCTCTTATTAGCATTTACTCACTCAAGTGGGTGGGGTGGGGGTGAGCGCTTACTTGAGTTTGATTGGGAGGAGGAGGGGTTGGGCGCTTATTCGAGGCTGGGCGCTTATTAACTTTTTCTGCCTTTAGGATGGGTGCTTATTCGAGGTGGGCGCTAATTCGAGGTTGGGTGCTTATTCAAATAAATACGGGATACGACGGATAGCGCTATCCACCTTTTGAGCAACTGGAGCGAGTACACTGCAATAAGACGAGGCAATCTGGGGCGAATAGAATGACTGAATAGAATCAAGTTTACGGAAAACGCCAAACGTCATTCTGCACCACATGACTAAGTTTTCCCTTCACTAGCCTGCTAGAAAGCTCTCCAACTAGGTGTACAGCTAACGAAGCAAACTGCGAGAGAACGCGCAAACGAGCAGCGAAGCCATGGCCCTCGCGTGACCTCTCGCGACTTCCCTAAAATGGACAGCTTGCTCGCAGGCTATGTCTACAAAAAAATTAGTATTTTGAAGCCTGTTTCATACATAAGAACTATTTTGTGCAGTTTTGTTCCGCTCATTTCATGCTTTAAGAAATGTTCAACTTGGATCTGCCGTTTACCGTGAAGGTGACCCTAAATCTCTCTATCATCTCATATCTTAGTTGGATTTTATTTTAATGAGATAGAAACAATAAAAAGTAAGGCGGGAAACGGGTTATTTGTACTACAATTCATCAACAAACGCGTGCACTATCCAACGACTCTCCAACCTCGTTACCAGGGTCTCTCAACCCGTCCCTGATACGGTCTAGTCACGCGGGTCTTCTCTTTCTCCCGGCGTGTGTTTGTGAAAACTATCTACGAGACCTCGGTCCCGAAAAAACTAGTTTAAGTGCAGATAGTTTGTTAGAAGAAATGTGACGAAGAAGTACGATGGCCTAGTTTCTATTTTTTTTACTAATTTCACCTCCGCTCCAAAAGGATGCAACCTGGAAGGTCCGGCTGCTGAGTCCCAGTCATCATCCGGGACATAAGACGGTAGCTCCATTGCAACATCCGGGAGAGCAAATTCACGTTCGGCCATTTTATCAGGACCAGTCGAATCTCTCTCACCTTAGCAAAGAAAAAGAAACATGGAAAACAAAGGCTGTAGACAACTGTGCAATATGATACAAAGAGGACCGTCGCAAGGAAGGTATTGTAAGTACTCTTAACTTATCATTGTACAAGGTTACAAAACAATGCAATGCAATACAATGCAATCTTGAAACTCAAAAGAAAAACTAACGAATCACTGACGACTCATTTATGGGTAAAGTTAGTGAAAAAAGGCCTCCAGTCACTGAAATACGACTATCTTAGGACCTCTGGTTTCACAAGATTAGTCAGAAACTTTGAGAATAAATTACCTAGCCTGGAGCGTATTTCAGTTAGTCGAATCGAATCGACTTTCTACGTGTATCGAATCGACTTTGTTGATGGATCGAAACGACTTCAGTTTGTATCGAATCGACTTGTATCGAAACGACTTTGTATCGAAACGACCGTAACCCTTTAAGAATTACTCTAATGACTCCAGTTAAGTAGCCTACTGTGCAATAAAGGAAGTCTGCGTGGGAGGTTACAAGCAAAGATGCTTCCAATCAAACTCTACCTGATGACATATCACTTGTATGCCTATTTCTCACATATCTCTCTAATTCATTCTCTTCATTCCTGGAAGTCTGCGGTGTTGAAGGCTGTTCATCTCGATCTCTTCTTCCCGAGGCTGAGGCTGAAAGGACGCGGGCTGGTGCTGTATAGGTTCGTTTCTGTGGCTCAATCATGTACAGTGTGTCGGGCATGTTGTGGCTGACACGTGACATGCGGTGTCTCATCAGCTCTACTTCAGCGTGTTTGTGGTCTTGAAGAATTATCTGAATGAGACGAGAAAGGATACTATAATACAACTGAATTTTGACACAATTTAGCTTGCAAGCAAGCTCTCCGGGGCGCTCTGGTGGCCGGGCGGTAAAAGGAAGGAGAGCTTGCAACTACGTCTCTGGAATTTGAATATCTACATCAAAAAAGTCGATGCAAAATGCTGATTGGCGGAGATGACATAAGTAATGACGTCATTACCCTTGGCGCGTGCTTTCACGTGTTTTTCAATGTTTTCTTTACATTCGCGTTCGTTTCCGCTTTGCGCTGATTGGCGGAAATCTGACAGCTCAGTTGACGGGGAGTCACAGGGGAATTGGAGGCAGAATTCAAATTCCAGAGACGTTGCAAGTTGCAAGCTTTCCTTCCTTTTCCCACCCCGCCGCTAGAGCGCCCCAAAGAGCTTGCTCGCAGGCTCAATTTAACCCTTGAAGTACCAAGAGCAACCGGATCAAATAAGGTTTCTGGGAAACTGCCGACCTACCCCTCTCCTAAAGCCATCACTTTGCCCAAAGTAAGAAGTAAGTGTTAATGTTAGCTTAGGGAAGGGGTAGGTGGGCAGTTTCCTAGAAGCCTAAATTGATCCGAGTGACCATCATCAATTTTCTCCAAGCCATATTTATACATAATCAAGTTGAAAGGTTACTAGAATTTCTACAATGATCACCTACTTGTAAGTGGAAATGCATTGATCTTTTAACAAATTCTCTCAACCAAATTTTCAAGGACTGTATGGAGATCAGCGTGGAGAATTTGTTTGTGGATATTGGAGCTTAAAGGGTTAATGGGCATGAGCTTATTGTTCGCCCTATGTAAGACATCAGGGCCGAGTTGTCTGAAAGGTGGATAATGCTATCCACTGGATAAATCTCTATTCAGTGGATAACGCAACTGATTTCCCAAACACTCATCCACTGGTTTGCGATCTATCCGGTGGATAGCGCTATCCAACATTTGAACAACTGCAGCCTGAATTCCAGAATCTGGGAAATTTTTGCCTGTGAAATCCAGAAACCGAGAAATTTTTGCTTCAGGAATCTGGAATCCTGGGCTGAGTTGTTCAATGCTGGGTTAAAATAACCTAGGGTCAGTTCGAGATTTGAATTCAGTTTTGAAAGCTTAAAAAGCATTTCAGTATTAAATTCTTTTTGTCTACAAGTTGATGATAGGAAGCTCTAAAAATAACAGAGAAAATTATCCAAGAAAATGCTTTTGAACACAAAAAAAGAAACCCTGGTTAAATTCAACCCCGGGTTAAGCGCTAATCGGCCTTCGAACAACTGGGCCATGGGCTTTGAAATCTGTAATTCGGCTCACGGAATCTGGAATCCCGCCTCCAATTGGAATTCAGATCCAAGTCTCACTGATAAGGAAGCCCGAATCCAGAACCTGGAATCAAGAATCCACAACATGGAATTCTGAATCCAAGACTGTCTTGGATTACCTGGCATGGGGTGAAGTTATGATTGCTCAAAGGTATCTAAAATCAACCATTGACCAATCTGCTTACATTGCCCACCCTAGCCCGTGAGCAAGCTCTCCGGTGCGCTCTGGCAGTAGGGTAGGAAAAGGAAGGAGAGCTTGGAACCACGTCTTGGGAATTTGAATTCCACCTCTATTTACATACAATGTACCCTCAGCTGTAATTTGTAATGGTATGCAATGTGAATGAGCAACCAAATTTATCAATTGAACGTTGAATACACAGTGTTTGTTACTTGATGAAATCTAGGTCACCTCTGGATATAGAGTAGAACCTAGATAGAACAAACCTCTATAATGAAGTCCTTGGTATAACAAATGATTTTCTACGCTTCTCTAATAGTAAAATGTATGGAAAAGAACCTCGATATAACGAAACCTCGTTATAGTGAACAAATTTTGCCAGTCCCTTGGCCCTTCACTAGATCAAGGTTCCACTGTATTGAGTTAATAATACATGTATTGCCACTGTGGCACACCTTCGCTTCCTCAAAGTATGGCAAAAAAAGTCTTGGTCGAACAAAATCCTTTTCTTCTCGTCTCCTCATCCATGGTAAATTAGGATAGAAACTTCCTTCGCCAATATCAAGAGGCATCCCTCGATCAACAAGACCTCGGCGGAACACACTTTCTAGCAGTTCACTATGTGGTGGTAGGACATGTCCAATCCTTACATGCTCCATCACACCTGATAGCACTTTCTTAAGCTGCTTGCTGTCAATTTCTCGCCTCTTGGAGGTTTTCTTGCTTTCCTGGAATGGATCTTCAGAAAAAAAAAGAAAAAGAGTCTATCATATGCAGGGTTGTTTTGTCTTTGGTTTTAAAACAAAACTACATACTTGTACCCATGACTAGTGGCAGATCTTGACCCTTACATAAGTGAAATGGCCCACTCATCCAGATACAGAAAGAAAAAGTGGGCTCAAACTAGAAAATGATAACTTTGTCACCACCCTGTGGGCCTTGGTTTGGCCTATGAATAAGGTCGTAGCTAGGGTCCCTCCCCTCGATTTGCCACTAGTGGTGTTACCCATTTGAGAGATGATTAAAGTAAGAAAAGAACAACAAGTTACAATGTAGTTAAAAGATTTGGTACCTTGATCAGCCATATTCTGAAGAACCTGAGCTTCACCCCATTTGACAACGGATAACAAAACATCATGTTCACAGGCCTGAGAAAAAGGAGTAACTAATATTAACAAAGATCCATGCATACTGTATTCCCATTCCAGTAATGATTAGAAAAAAATCAATATATTAATTATATTCATCATGTATCATCAGTGATTTTGTTACCTCTGCATCCTGCATCCCTGATGCATAAAAATTCCCAAAGACGCAAAATAATCTGAAGATGTTTTCTGTGGAATATCCTGTTTGTGTGATTATTTCTTTTAGTCTTTGTTGTGTTTTACAATAGCAGGAGTATATTTTCATTTCTGTAATTTCTAATACAGAGTTTTGGAGTCTGTCTTCAGATTAACTGTGTGGTTACAAAAGACCAAGGGACTCCCTGTTTTTTGAAGTGGGACTCAATGGTTCTGCTTTAAGGTATAAAGGTGTAATGATACTTTTTACCAATGCACAACAACAAAAATAAATATACATGTATATATATAACTAGAATATCTAATATGTAACTATACATTATATAAAAAAGACTAATTAAACTACTTGGATGTTAAATAACAAAAAAAAAAGAAGATCCAAAATCGGTGAGAAATGACAAAATATGGCTATTTACAAAGATAATTAAGTAATAAAATGTTAGAAGAGTTCAAGCTGGAAGCAGACATAATGGAGTTTGGTAAAGAGTAACAATCATTAACATAGCGATTAAAAAATGAAAATTTAAAATAGTTTGTCCTTGCTGCTCTAGGCCTGATTTTAAAGTCGTGGTTACTCCTAGTTCTTGTCAGGCCAGTCAGATCCACGTAATTATGTGGTATAATCAATATCAGAATAGCCAAGAATTATCTTGTCAAGTTGAACCAAGTACAGGTGTTTAGTTCTGGACTGGGACTCATGATTTCTCTCAAGATGAGTTCCAGGACTCACCATAACTATCTGTAACAAAATTACTGTGTCATGAGGGGCTAGAGAACAAGCATTTACAGCAGTCAAATTTCAAAAGGAATGGGAATTAGGACTCAAAACTAACTTTTGTGACCTTATCACAATTAATCAGATTTTCATGCTATCATTGTTATTTAGGACAAAGACTACCTACAGTGTAATACTGTAAAAACACAATTTAAGAAGCTTTAAATAAGCTCTGCTCTGCACCCACAAAAGTGCTGCACGCCCAAGTCAAAACATTGATTTTACAGTGTATAATCACTGTAGCACTCTTTTAAGTCAATACAGTACTCAAAAGTACCTGTACATGTATGTTACATGTACCATCACAACTTATAGATATTACAAGAATTTGCTGTCTGTCTGTCTGCATTGAATTATCCTGAGATTTAAAATTGCATTCTCATTTACGTGATTCTTAAAAATTCAATATAGACTTCAGAAATGAGTTTATGTCTGGTTCCTTACTTTTGAGTGGCAAAGCCAGTTAAATCTCTGTACATGTAAATAAAAAAGTTCAGTGATACCTGTAGAAAATCAGATTTTAATGCTTCCACCAAATATTTCCTAGGCATCAGGGAGAATGCATCTGACTGCGCAATGTTCACAAATTCATCCTGTAGAAACTGCATCGCTTGTCTGTAGACCCAGTCTGATCCATGCGGGAGGGAGCTCCATTCCAAGGTGGGAAGAAGAGTAGAGGGGGAGAGTTCTTCAAGAATGATATCTTCACACCCTTCGGAAAAGAAAAGGGCCATTTATACTCCAAGAGAAAATAAGCCATAGTTTTCTTACGACGTGAAAAGATCAAGCTAGAACTAAAACTATTTATATGAGTACGGTTTACATAGGATGTAAAATGCTAGTATAAATGGTTCGCAGCTTAGTTTGAGGCCAACAGCTACAAGATGACATAATTAATTAGTATTGGTTTCTAGTTTTCGGGTAATTTATACATCTTTACTCATATGTTTTGAGTGAGCATAAAAGCAAAACGATTGACCTTGTAAAAAAAATATGCTTAATTGTCTATATTTATTTTCTTTGAATAAAAATTTAAGTTAAGATTGGCGTTAGGCTCCAAAACAATCATTTATCAAAGGAAGTCATGAAGCTCGACAAAAGGTTTGCAAGTAATCAAGCCAGTAGGATTTCAAAGCAATTTTTTGGCTAATAAACTGCTAGCTAAAGTCATGCATGCTCACCGTTTTTTAATCAACAAATGGATTGGAGGCTAATGCAAAAGGAGGTCTGGGCAACAATAACAAACAGCACATGCAGAGCAGTTGTTCATGGCTTCAACAAGCTGCGGACAATGTTTTAGTCAATTTATACAAACACCTTCACGTCTAAGGTAAGCCATGGATTGGATAAGCACAGCCCAAAACCCCTCGGTCAGGACAACCTGCGGCTTTAGTTAGCTGTGGGTTGAATGAGCCATGAACATCAATTTAGTAGCATTTATATGGGGTGTTTGCATCTTATGTAAGCCACGGCCAGAGTAAGCCGCAGCTTATCTTATCCCGTATAAACATCTGTATTAATGGCTACATGTTCACTAAAGAATCACCAAGTACACTGTACCAAGAGAAGGAGTAAGGCTTAATTAAATCCTAACCGAATGTCAGGGCATTTAAATAAGGTTTGCTCCCTTACCCTGAATGAGCACAGGTAAATCAATAAAACTTGCTACTTCAAACACTTCCATAGCAATTTCTGCTGCCGTCAACAATTTATGAGTTCCAGGGGCATGATATCTTCTATCCTCAGAGCTCCACTTTACAACAGCAGACAAATCCACAGAGTCTGTATACATGCACTGTAAAACTATTCGTGTGTATTGTCGTGTCATAACTGATTCATCAAGGACTAGTCTGAGTACACTTGAATTTGTTGCTTTATGTTCAGAGAAATTTAGCTTATTCTTAAGAAACAAAGACCTGAAATAAGGCGATCTTGTACAAAGAATAGCTTTGTGGCACAGAATTTCATAGGTTTGATCCGAGATTGAGTTACCATCATTTGATTGAAAAGTATCCGAAGGGCCTTGTGCTGGAAAAACAAGTGCCACATCAGCGAATTCACAGCTGTGAAAAAGCTGTTTGAAGTCCTGCTCCAAAACATTGGGTGTTCCAAATTCCTCCCCAAGATTTATCAATACATCTATGTACTCTAGTCCTGACTTCCTTGGTGTGAAATCTCCAGTATACAGATAGGAAAGTAGTGATGAAAAAATGTCCTTTGTCATTCCCTCTGTTTTAAACTCCATATGAATCACAGGATTTTCTTCAGGGTGCTGCAAGAACAGTTCCTTGAAATAAGGGCATCGCGAAGACAGCACAGCCCTGTGCACATGGAAACTAGTGTTCTCAAAAACTAAAGTAGCATCAGCACAAATCCCCTCTTCATACAACCTCAAGAGATCTTTCTTGAGACTTGGTGCAGACTGCCGTACAAGGCTGGTCTGATTTGTTAATTCTTTGACATTCATCATAGCTTCATATTCCTCTACTAAAGCATTTATCTCCTGCGTTGTCCATGTCTGTGTTAAATCTCTCAACATTTTTCCATGATCGTGGATTTTAAAAGCCCCTTTGTTCCTACTCAGCTTCTTTTTAAGAGTGTTTAGCTTTGATTGTTTCTTTCTCTTTTCTTCTAGAGTATATCTTGGTACTCTTACTAATGTTGAATCAGGTGAGTTCTCTGCAGAAGATGCGTTTGCCCCCATTTTAACTGTAAACTAAATTAAGTGCTCTGTAAAATGTTGCAGTAAGTAGATCCTTATGGACAGAGAAAGATAGTACCATGATCAAGCATCTTCTGGGAAGACTGTGAAGCTGATAAATCTCTTGAGACTTTTTAGATTAGATATGTTGCTCCACAGAGGTGAACTATGTTCGCTTCTCGTGGATTTATACATGATGATCTGTTGTGCACCACAATGAACGAAAAACACGGGGAAGAATACTCTTCGTATACTGTTGAGTGATCACGCGATGTTACCTATAAAAAATAAAATCATCATTTGGGAATTGGAATTCTAAATACCAGTCTGTTACTTCCAAAAGAACACTATTCATATAAAATGCAGTCCTCAAATTTATGACTGAAATCTATTAGCGTAGTAAATACAACTTTTGAATTAAGCTTCTGGACTGTAAAATGTATTTGGTAAGCCGGCTGAAACTTGGGCTGAAACAAACCGACACCACGACAAGCTAAAAACAAATTAGTATTAAACGAAGATGTACTCGGAGACAGTATTGGCGACTAATCTTTAAGTCTTCAAGTCTACCTTTGCACAGAATCAAAAGAAACAAGACATCAAAACGAATCAAAACAATGCGAATCATAATACTCTAGATCTGAGTCCTGGTTTAAGCACAGAGCATACAACATCGATTTCACGACAAAATTTCTTGCTGAATTTTCTTTGATTACAAATATAAGACACCACGATGGTATAATATCAAATTAACCTACCATTAACGGTTCCTCTGCCCTAAAATATCTCTGCCGTTCTCTAAAAAGGTCAAAAATCCGATAAATTGTTTTTCTCACAAAACAAAATCAAGCTGAAAACATCAAGTATTTGAGCTTAGTAACCTCGCATGGTGTGCCTTCGGGAATCCTCGGGAGTATTCGACAAACTCTCGGGAAACTCTTCCACCACTTGACTAGACAGTGGCATTGCCTAAAATCTTCTGTTACTTGAGGATAGCTAAAACTCTCTAGATGGCCGATCCATTCAAGAACAATTTTCGAGGCTTATCTAATAAATTCCCAACGATTTTCTGAAGTTTAATTTTTCACATTTTACTCCCCAGGTTAGGTTATTTTTCTAGAAAAAAAGAAAAAAGAAAATATTCGGATTTAAAAATGTGAGAGGAATCAGAAAAATTCTCACTTTCGCAATACGTTAAATTGCATCTAAAATTCTCGGAAAAATAACACTGAAGCCCTGGTAATTTCGAAAAGACTCAAGTTAATCTTGGATGACCGAACAGATACAAATTTTATAGCTCCGCCTAGAATGCATTTCTACAGATCTAAAAGTACACTGAATAGCGTAAAAAGTGTTTTCAGTGTATTTATAACATCTAAGTTCAAGTCTCTGAGAAATGTGCCGCTGTTACTCACACTGACACCATGTTGTTGTGTTGTCTTGACGTGTCTATGAACAATGCATCCGTGTGTTGTTCTACAGTAAAACCTGTATTAAGCGGACACCCTCGGGGAATGCTGTGGTGTCCGCTTAATACGGGGTGTCCGCCTAATACAGGTTTCGATATATAACGTCTTATGAGGTGTCAAATGCCATTCAAATAAACAGTGGAAGCGTTTATAGTACTCCCAGAAACTATGACGATAGACGTTTGCATTAATTTCTTTATCAAAGTGAACCAATATTGATCATAGTACCATAAACATGGATTGCAATTCAAATTTGAGGAAATCAGATGAGTGAAACAAGCTCTATACAAATAAAACGAAATAGAAAACAATCCTGTACTGTGAAACTAATCAAATAAGTTCGTCAAGTCACGTTTTTTAATATAAAAATCGAAAAATTTGTGGGTGGCAATTCGAGGCAATCTTTCGCATTTCCGGTGTCTAGCATGTTGGGTGGTGGAATTTAATTACAAATGTCGGTTTAATACAGGTTGGCAACAATATTAATAGAAATGCCCCTTTTTAGGTACTTTTTAGGTGTCCGCGTCCGCTTAATAGAGGTGTCCGCTTAATACGGTGTCCGCTTAATACAGGTTTCACTGTATTTCATTGCGCTAATCATCACTTACCCTCAAACTAAGGACATCAAAGACCCTTTACCGCTTACGACGTCATATAAGATTAAACCAATCAAATTCCACGTCTCATATGGTGCATATGCTTGCCAAGTGCCTCCAAACCACATGGCAAACAGAGGTCTTTTGTCCACCATGTTGATAAGTATGGGTTCTATCGACTTAATATGGCTTAATTAAGTGTTTATTTCTTTTTTCCTTCTCCTTATCCGGTTATTTCTGGCATAATTTTGTTTGCTTTTAACCTTTTGTAATTTCGTACAATGAGGCGACAATAACTTGGTCGATTCGTGTCTGTCAGATCAACCCGGCTTCTTTGGTTCAGGTGTACTCCTTTGCCATTCCGCCCCTACAACCGCTTTGGAATGCCTTGTAGGGTGTCTAAGTGGAGTAAAATGATCGTTAAACGGCCTGTGTCACGATACTGTGCATGTGTGAGTTCTGACAGTAGTTGATTTTTTTTAAAACCAATCGGAAGCGAGTTAAACACGCGCTAAAAAACTTTACATAATTCAAATTCATTGCGCGACGCGGAGTACTTCCGAACTGCTTGGTTCGATTTTATATTTCGCCATAATTCATATTTATTCTTTGCTATTCCTCGGTTATATAGAGTATAGAGTATATTACATGGCCGCGGGGAGATACGAATTTTACCTTCGAGTGAGGGATACTTCCAAATTCCTTCACGTTGCGTCGGGTCAGTGTTCTGCAAAACGAATGTTTTCGAGTAGTACACATAAAGAAACCAGATTATGAAGAGAATGTTCAGGCAACAATTTATTTTAAAAACATCAATTCTTAAACATATACGATCATACACGTAACATTTCAAAAGTACGACATCGGTGATGACGCACGCGGCCTGTTGTGTACTTCGAATTCCTAATAAAACCTTTCATGTTCGATGGATTCTTTCCTCAAGCCTTACACGACGTCCTGTACAAGAACATATTGCTGGGTTTTCTCCCTCTGATTCCAGCCACACGAGAGAGTACATTACTGTTGCAGACAATCGAAAGTCATGTCGCAGACTCGAGGGGGAGGGGGGGGGGTACTGCCATATATGGGCTATATTGGTACGTGCCGCTGCGAAGGGTATGGTTTCCAAGCAGTTTACTCTAGGATAGGGTATATAAATCAGAGAGTTTGGGTCTAGAAGAGGGTATCATTTTCCATTTAAACTGATCAATTGGCTGAAGATTTTAGTCTAGACTAGAACTAGCTCTGGTATAGGCTAAGGGTTCCAGGGTCCCAGCGGCACATCCTCACCCAAAAAGTCCTAAAGTACCCCCCGGGGGGTCGCAGATCAGCTTCACTCGCCGGTTCGTCCACGGCTGTATCGAGGAAACCACTTTTGAATTTCAACTTTCTTTATAGATTTACCGCTTAAAAATTATCTGGCAAAAGCAAGATCGTTGACTGGAGAAACTTTATAGACAAAAATGAAAGCCAGATGACCACATTCAAAGCCTCATCCGTTTGTAAGAACACTGACAACAACGAATATGGCTAATCGTGCACCTCTTCTCAATGACCTCGAATCTCTCGACAATGCTTGCGTGAAAATACAAAATATGGGGTTTAAAACTTCCAAAATGGGCCAAATAGCTCTTCAATACTGATATAATAGCTTTTTCAGACGTCTCGGGGTCGATCGAAAGGATAAAGATGATGGATTTATAATACCGCGCTGAAACTTGCCAGGTTTTTTCACATAATATTAAGGAAAAACGTCTTAAATCACCCGGCTATGAGGAAACATTTTGGAATTTTTGGTGGCGGCCTGAAGTTACTGGGCATTACGAAAAAATCCATCCCTATATCTCAGGAAAAAATTGCCGGGCACTGCCGGGAATTTAAACGTAAATGAACAATCTAAGTATAAGTCTGATCCAATTTTATTGCGGGCGACAAGAGGAGCCCACAGACTAATCTTGGTCAGCGGCACTCTATGAACTGTACGGGGAGGTTTTTCCTGAATCTGTCCATATTCTTGACATTCTTGGGATGCCCGTCTTGTACCAAATAATATGCATGGTATGTGGCCGCGAAGGCCCTGGTGTTGAGTTTAAGGTCCGTCTGGTGTCGAGTAATCACGTGAATGCGCACGCATTGAATGCAACAATCATTATTATATTCGATTCGCAAGCACACGTAATTCAGGTACACACGGCACTGTACTAAATGTGAGACTTTTCGATTCGTCTTACCGGCCGGAATCTATTTACCCAGGTAAATGAAAGTAGAGCCTGATCTCAGCTTAGTGCAGGACAAGTGTTCGGTAAGATACGAGCGTTAGCAAAGTCTAGAAATCAATGTAAATCAAGTTTATTCAGGTTTCCAAGGTTTTTGTGGATACTGCCTATGCACCAGAAGTCACTATTGCCGTCGGGTTAGTTCTCGAAAAGTAAGTAAGTAATAATAGTGAGAGTAATGAGTTTTGTCTACTGTGTTGTTTAATTCAGTTTCTACGCTCAAGATCCGAGGTAATTCAGCCGGTACTTCCTATTGTTGACACTTTAACTAAAAGGGCTTTCTCTGTTTCACGTACACAACTATGAAAACAAAGCGGTTCTCATCAATCACATCTCCAAGGTTAACCCACATGCTCGCACGCACTTCCTAGCCAACGGCCACTGCTAGTTTTTATTCCTGGCTATCGAGGGAAAGCCAGAAATATGCAATTCTTAAAATATTTTGAACCTGCGATATAAACTCGGAAATCACACCTTAGATGTAAAAATTGACACCTCGGATATCAATTTTCTGAAAGCTCAGCTCTCGCTTGATAGACCTGTGTAAATTTTATTGTGCAAAGTTCTTTGTTTTTTTGAAAAATAACAGTTTTTCAAATGGAATGGTTTATAACAGATCTAATACCTTAATTGGTAACTTACATTCATGTAGCCTGCGTAGCAGGCGTCGAAAGGGGAAGGGGTTAGGGAGGAAAAAGGAGGGGGATTGGGGAGGGGGAGTAGGGAGAAGGCTCTCTTCCTCTTTCCTCTCCTTCGCGCTTTTCTCCCTCCCCCCTCCCTCTCCCCTTTTTGCGCCTGCCACGCAGCCTATATTTATGAGATTAGTAATTAAACCCTACATAAAATCAAACCAAGACTTATAAATTTATGACTAAGAAACACCAATCTTCGATGGAAGGTGTATGAAAGGAAAAGAGTACTATTTTATCAAAAATAGCATTTAGAGGCTAAGACAAGGTGTTGGAATTGGGGGCGGGGCCTCCCCGTATAAAACAGTGCTTAGTATCCCCCCTTTACCCGGGCATTATATATTGTACGTGCATGAGATCCAACTAAAGAGTAAAATAGGCTGACGTTGCAGAAACGTAGGCTATGTTCACCCTATACCGGGTGGTTTTTCGTGCCGACACGGAAAGTTATCCGTTATAGTGTGAGCACCTATCCGGTATGTAACTCTCCACTTTAGAATTTGACGCAGTGCAGCTTCGCTAGGTTATAGAAATCATAGACTACGAGTAGTCCCTATTTTTCCTCAGGGATAGTAGAGAGAGCGAAACGCGAGCGCGCGTGAAAATCACCCCACGCGAGAAAGGCAAGACGCGGTGGGGAGGAGAGAGAAAAATGAGGAACTACATTTTTCTCTCTCGATCTCCCCGCCGCGTCTCGCCTTTCTCGCGTGGGGTGATTTTCACGCGCGCTCGCGTTTCGCTCGCTCTACTATCCCTGAGGAAAAATGGGGACTACTCGTGGTCTATAGAAACCGCGCCGAAATCACCTAGTTCTTGCGTGTGAGCATAAGTCCTATCCGGTATTGGTT